GGAATTCATCAAGGCCCAGGCGCATCTGCCACAAGCTCCCCAGCCAGTCTACCCACTGAAGTCCATTTTTTCCTTCCCAGATGATGTCCATCTGTCCCTTTGTGCACCCATTCATTCGGCAGATATCTTTGAAAACCTACTAAGTGCGAGCCTTTAAAGAGCCTCTCCATGCTGACTCTCCTGTTGACTTACATTTGCCCCGAATGAAATTTCTTCCTGTGTCAAGTCTTCTTCCTGAACCAGTGGGTCCTGGCCCCTGAAAACCATTTGGCGGCAATTGGAAGAACCCTTGGGAAGGATTCCGGGAAAAGCATGCCCTTTGTTTTTGAGTTAACATTAGCTGATTAATATTCCGTGTCTATTGCTCCTCAAGAAATGTGAGCTACTTCCGTTATTATGCAGGTCAGGGCCGGTGGAATGCCCTGAGCGCTCCCCAGGGCAAGAGTGAGGGTTAGGAGGGACCAGGCAGCAGGTCCAGGCGTCAGGCCAGTTAGCAGCCGGTGGAGTCGAGCACCTCGTGTGTTCTAGGCCCCGCGCGGCCGGCGTTCACGTCTCCTCCCGCAGAATGGGAACCCGGGCGCAGAGAGTGCATTTGACCACAGTGTTTCAGGGTCACCCGGTTCGAAAGGAGCAGGCCCAGGACTCCAGGTGACATTTGATTTTGTTCTCTCAGTCACACTCTGCTGCCCATGGGGTCCATTGTCGCTATGGCTTTGCCTAGAGAGACAGCTCCATGTCCTAAGGTGACCTGTCCCCACATGCCACCCTTTCTCTCCTGTTCCCTGGAGCTGGGAACCAGAGCCGTTCGGTCCTTTTCCTGCCAAAGAAGCAGTGTCCACTGGCACCTGAGTGTGTCCACCTGGGGAAGGAAAGAGACGCATTTACTGAGTATGTCTTAACATTGGGACAGATAGGTGGTGGCTTTCGCATTTAACAGATAAAGAAACGGAGGCTCAGACACCTGCAGTAACTCGCCCGAGGTCTCCGTGCTAGAAGATGGTGGGGTCAGCTGGTGACAGAGGCCTGGCCCTTTCTTCTGTGCCATCCAGGCTTTCTGTTAAGAAGCTAATTATGACTGCGCTACTCTGAGTGGCGAGGACGATGGTGGCCCTGGTGGGCACAGGGAGGTTCACAGTGGCCCTTGGGTGTTTCGGGCCCTTGGGTGTTTCAACCACAGCGTGCGTGGCTGCCAGGCCCCAGCTTATTTTCCTTTCGGCTCGTCAGGGCTAGGGGAACTCCCGTGATGCTGGAAAGGAGCTGATAACACGCTCCGAAAGGCAGTTCTGTGTTCAGGACCATGCACGGAGGCCAAGGGCAGGGAGTGACCAGCCGGTCGCCAGGCTGGCGTTCGTTCCCTGCGGTGGGGGTCAAGGGCCGGAGTCTCCACAGTGTCACTGGGGTCACCGCAGGAGCTAGTTACATGGCAGCCCCACCACATTTCATCTTCACAGCCCAGAAGGGTCTGGCTGTCTTCTGAGTCTGACTGGGTGAGGGGCTGGCGGTCAGCGAGGCCGAGACACCCCCCGTCCTGCCCGGCTGCAGAGCCTGAGCTCTTGCAGCTGCTCACGTTTGTTCCACCTCTGGTGGGTGAGACAGCACTCCCCGGTCACACGCGTCTTGACTGGCCAGTCGTTTGATGTTTCATTGTACTAAGTAAGAATGGTCCAGATTCAGCCACCAGGGGCCCACAAGCCATTGCCCTGCTCACCCCTCTGGCCTGATCCCTGCAAAATCTGCTTTTTTTCCAAACAATTTTGTTTGTAAAAATTAACCCATAGCCTTATAGACAGCCTGGAAATTAGGGAAGAGACAAGTTCAATATGAATCCCACTACTTCACCTGCTAATTAGCCTTTCTGCAGCCTCCTTATAAAATCCCACCCTACAGACTGTCCCCGTGTCCTCACATTGTGACCCCAGATGGTGACTACGGAAGGTCCCGTCCTGTATGTGTGCATGGCCTGCCTCACCCTCACGTTGGATCTGTAGCTTGTTCCAGGTTTTCACGCACGTGAAAAGTGCCAGAGGAAATGTCCTTGTTCTCCAAGCGTCTTTTTTATTTTATATCATTATAAGAAATGGGATGATGAACCACTGCCGTTAACCGAGAACGTTAACGTGCTGCACACTCTGCGTCCACGCTTCGCTTAATCCTCACGAGAAGTCGGGGGCGGGGGGAGAGCAGGCGTCATTAGCTCAGTTTTGTAGAAGAAGTAGCGGAGACTCTG